ATATATATGGCTCGACAATCTCAGATCTTCTGTTGTATGACTTGAAATCTAATCCGATCATCTTGGTGGCGATGAAATCGGATCTATCTCTACTAGGATTACTTGGAGAAGAAGAAGAGAACACAAGAGAGAGATCTATCTCTACTGGGATTACTTAGAGAAGAAGAAGAAGAGAACACAAGAGAGAGAATAGAGCTCAAGGGGCCGGCGTGTGAGTCTCCAAATCGGGTCTCACGTGAAACTCAAATTAGTCTCATAATCCCAAGAGATGTGATGTATTTATAGGTTCCAACAGGGATCCTAAGGAGGCATTAAATTGGGTTTTTCCTATTTGGATTAGACTATAGCGAAGCCTACCAAACCCAAATAGGAATAATACGTACACTCCACTAAAGTAGTATTATTGAATAAACTTTAAATTTAATTCCCAAATTATATTCAAGTTTCCAATAATAATTATTCGATTTATCTCCCCGTGTTTAAGATATAATGTCCACCAATACTAGTACCACTCATCCCATTATTATTATGTCAGAATAAATTCCACTGGCCAGATTTAACATAATAATCCTTCATGAGCTCATCTCGGGGACATCATCAAGCTAGCGCACACGGTGACCGTAAATATCCTAACAACACATCATACATGCAACAATATTACCCAAGACAGGGGGTCTATTGATCATGTTCACTAAACCTCACCCATTGAATCAAAGTAATATATACTGCATATATATGTTTGTTTAATATCTTACGGGTTAAGAGAACGCAGTAATTAACCAAGGCCTAGTTCGTTTACGACGATCAGTATAAAACGAACTTCTCCTCTCTGGGATCCGTTCAATACTCAAAGTATACTAGTGCAACTAATCAGTCAAGACAAACTGTACCGTTGACACTACAACCTTTCAGATGGGGTGTTCATGTCCATCTAGGTTGTGAACCATAATTCTTGTTTCGCGAGTAACTGATATAGTGATCTTCGGTTCGCCCGATGACGACCCACCCTATGTAATGCAAAACAACAGACTGTAGACTTGTTTAATTAAACATGATTCTCATTCAAACGGGTTCAGTATAAATGCGTCTAAAGCCAAGCTTTCAGTATATATACCAACATAATTATCAAGAATTAAAATTTTAAATATGAATTTGAATTATCCATATATTTTCAACGTAATTTGAATGCATTTGAATATGAAATATTAATTAACTCATATTTAAATTCTGTGTTATATGGAGATAGATATTATATAAGTTTTATATTTCAAGTCCCTGTAATATGGAATTCTTGTATATATAGTAGACTAATTCATCAGCTTTTTGTTGGAAATTAATCCGGCGAAAAGCGATCAAGGGAAACTAGTGCGACCCTGTGCGATGCATGTAGTGGACAGTTTTAAGGCTATTTACCTAACCTTATTATTATATTCGTGAATAAAGAAAATTAAATAAATAGAATATAAATTATTGTTATATATTATTAAAAATCTCCTTGTAAACAACATTTTTTGCCTCGTAGGCACACCACCATCCTCGCAAATTAATAATTTCAAATCCTTTCAGTTAGTGACACAAAAAACAACTATATACAACTGGTCACGATTGAACACCGACTTCTCAAAAACATGTTAACATGTGATAATGACAGACTCTGGCTCTTGTTAATCGTCATAGCATACGAAACCATTAGGGAAAGTTGTCTCTGCTGAAATTTGAAAGGTAACCTAACGCCAAAGGTGTTAGAGTCGTCTGAGGTATCAACACCTTCTTTCCTACATTACATTCAGTCAATAACTTACACTCAAGCACATGAGTTGAGAGCTTTGTGACAACCAATCTCGTAGTATTGTACTACCCCATAGAATGGTCAATGTCCCTCAACAATATGACTCGGGTTCCTATCTTAAGATTCAACTCATGGTTCGACATTCCAGAACATCTGATAGTATTCAAAAACTCGGGGGTGTGGAGATAAAATAAAAAACATTATTGGAATCAGATTTGCACGTACTGTCAGAGCTCAAATATCAAGTATGTTTGACTATCAGTCACATTCAAAGACATCATGTACTCATTGATAGACTCTATGACCTCCAACGTTGGGGCTAATATAGCTCTATCTTTCAAACAACTGGGATCATCAGTTGCATTTTTTAAACACTGGATATGTGCTCTCAACAATTGCAGCGACAGGATCACCATTGGGTTCCACCAATATATTATCAAGTATGTCTATCAAGGCACATGGTTCCATCTCCGATGCTCGCTATCCAATTAGCAAAAGCAGTCAGCTCTTCGCGTTCATCCGAATCACCAATGTTTTGAATGCACATATTTTTTTGTAAGCCTCAAACACAGCACAACCAATCCATATGTCGAAAGAATTAATTGCAATATTCACAATATCCTGACGACTCTCACTTTGAAATAATCGGGAAGATCTTTCGAAAGTCCTTGTAGATATCAAAATTTTAATATTTTATTATTTAGTGTCTTCATTTATTTATAGACATAAATCCAAGATAAATAAGATATTTATTTAATAAAATAAATATTTTTTTCCCACCAAGTCAAATCTTAGGTTAAGGAAAAATCTTAATATAGGAAAGAGATTATACTAAATCATGAATGACCAATCAAATTGATGTCTTATTCTACAAGACTCTCTCTCACCTACACCTATAAATATGATTTTCCTAAAAGCATGTTGCGCCCTCTTAACTTCCTAATGAAATCTTTAGATGATGCTTGGATACAAGTTATCCAAATAAAAAAAAAAATGAATTATTTTTAACCAATCACTTTCTTTTTTTTTTTTTTTGTTAACTCACATCTAACTCAAGCTCACTACTCTCAATATTGTTAAACATAATTAAATACTATTTAATTAATCATTCTTATATATAAGATCAACTTTAGTTCACTATTCATCAACTCACATATTTTAACTAATTATCACTTCACATCATCTATTTCTTACTTTTACATCAAATCAACTTTAATTATTTTTTAAAATTTTATTTAATATAAATTCAGAATCTACGAACAACTAACCATACCACAATTTTCAAAACTAACCAAAGCAAACCAAAAAATTTCAAACAAAACCATAAAAAAATTATATCCAAGCATTCGCTTAAAGGTGTGACTGGATGTGAACTTAACAAAAAAAAAAAAGATAATCAAAATCAAATTTAACTCAACTTTAACTCAATCTAATTATCTCCAATATTATCGATATAATTAAATATTATCAACCAGTCATTCTTACACATTATATCAAATTTAATTTACTATTCATCCACTCACATAACTTTAACTAATTTCGGTTCCAGTCACTTTTCTCATAATTTTATGTCAAATCAACTTTAATTATTTTATTTTAAATATTATTTTAATTTGAACATAAATTCTCCCTAACAACTATTGGTATCATAATTTTCAAAATTAACTATATTTAACAAAAAAAAAAAAAAAAAACTCAATCAAAAATCAATTGAATCCATATTTAATCAGACATAAAGGATCAATCAAATTGACATGATGCCTGTTTTACATCAATCAATTTTCTTACCTCAGAGTATGTCTTCTCTTATTGGGCAACGCATCTTTCTTGCCTTGACCTAACAAGTCAATAACCAATAGAAATGGGCCACAACAGCCTCAGTTATTCTGGCTTTTACTACTTATACTAAAGCAAGAAGGCAATTTTTATTGTGGCTTAAAAAAAGTTGCAAGCCAATTTTATGTGAGGTGGGCCTCAAAATTATTAGGAGCATAACATTTAGATGAATTTATGCAGGCCTCCGGGCTTGACTTTGAATCACATATTCTATTACGAGACAATCTAATTGATAATAATTTGATAATTGTTAGTTTTAAAAAAGTAATTGTGTATTTGTGTTCAAATAATATTTAAAAAGAAATGATTAAAGTTTATTTAATGCAAAAGTATGAGAAAAATAATCGGAAGTGATAGATAGTAAAAGTTATGTCGAGGGATGAATAGTGAATTAAAATTGATGTGATATGTTTGGATGTGCGGTTGATATTATTTAATTATAGTGATAATACTGATAATAGTGAGGTTGAGTTAAAGTTGAGTTAAAATTTGAGTTTTGATTGGTAAGGTATTTTTAATTTGATTGGATTTGGTGAATAACTAGAGTTAATTTTGAAAAAGTTGATTGAGTTATGTTTTAGTGTAATTTTAAGTTTATATTAAAATATTATTTAAAATATAATTATTAAAGTTGATTTGATGTAAAAATATGAGAGATGTGATTAAAAGTGATGAATAGAGAATTTATGTGAGTTGATATGATGTGTGGGGATGATTGAATGATATTATTTAATTATATTGGTAATACTGAATAATGTTGAGTTGAGTTAAATTTAAGTAAAAAAATATTTGGTCAAAAGTGACGAGATAATTTATAACCAATCAGTGGCTAAGGGACCAATTGAATACTATCTTTGTAAGAAAAATTACCTTCTTGAATAATTGTTTTTTCTTTTTCTTTTTCTTTTTTTTTTTTTTGCAGGGATGGGATAAAAAAAGTAAAAATAAAAAAAATATGCATCTAACTATAAATACAGTTAAAAAATAAAAATCAATACTGTACATTTTTTAATAAATTAATTATTCATAACCTTACATATTATACTTTGTGAAAAATCAAAATCAAGTCATTGCTGTAAAATATTATACTTTGTGAAATATGGTATAAAATTTGAACATAAAAATAGATGTTTTTTTTTTTTTTAAAAAAAAAAAGAAAAATGTATGATTGTCTTACTGCTAGCATATCTCCTACATTGTAATAAGAAGTTTCATGAGAACTTCAGTTTTTAGTCTTTTCCAAATTCCAAAAATAAACAAACAAAGACTAAAATCACATCCTTGGGAAATTGTTATTCCATGCTTAATTCTATATAAGAATCCTATTTTCTAACAACACATGCACACTACTACTAAGTAGCAAAAAGAAAAAAAAATGCATAAGCTTGTGTGTCTCTTCCTGCTACCTCTTCTTTTCATTTCCTGTGATGCCAATCAGGCAAGTTATCTTCAAAAGCTTCTAAAGTCTAGAAGATCACACAAACTCTCGACTTTGGATTCTCGGTCGAAAATCGACGCGGAAAGTGATTATGTTCCAGCGTTTGTCGAGCCTCAAGATGGATTAATGCAAGCTGATAAGATCACCAAGTTGCCGGGTCAGCCAGATGGTGTGGACTTTAATCAGTATGCCGGATATGTCTCGGTGGGCCCAGCGGCCAGGAGAGCACTGTTTTATTATTTCGTCGAGTCTCCTGATAATTCCTCTGCTAAACCTCTTGTTTTGTGGCTCAATGGAGGTGATTAAAAAGCTTTACAAAATGTTTCAGTACTCCATAGAATCTCATTCATTTTTCAGTTCTATTTTGATTTTCACACAAAAGTAATGCAATGTTCCAAGCTATTCATCAGATATCGCCTTTTATCTCGATTAATCGTATAAAACAAACAGGTCCCGGGTGTTCATCCTTTGGATATGGAGCCATGAATGAGTTGGGTCCTTTCAGGGTCGGCAGTGACGGCAAAACTCTGTTTCGGAATTATGATGCATGGAACAATGGTACGTGATCGAACTTATCGAATATCAAATTTGTAGATACTATTTGAAAAAAATAAGCTGATATTTGTTTATGACCGACTGACGTAATTTTAAGGATTTTTTATTTTATTTTTTGTTTTTGAAGTGGCAAACGTGATTTTCTTGGAGTCGCCAGCCGGGGTCGGTTTCTCATATTCAAAAACGACATCGGATTATAGGAGAACGGGCGACATAAGCACAGCTAACGATGCTTATACTTTCCTCATAAACTGGCTCGAGAGGTTCCCCCACTACAAAAATCGGGATTTCTACATTACGGGAGAAAGTTATGCGGGCCATTACGTGCCTCAGCTAGCTCACACCATATTGCTCAACAACAATCATACAAACCAAACTGTCATCAGTATTAAGGGGATTGCTGTAAGTTCAAATAATAAACACTTTTTCCAATGTCAATATATGATATCTAATTTGGAATTCTTTCAGATAGGTAATGCATACATAGACGACAAGACCATGACAGCGGGTACCTTCGACTATCTCTGGACTCACGCTTTAAACTCGGACGAGACTCATCGGGATTTGTTCAAGTTTTGCTATTTCTCGAACATGACAACGTATGATCAGTGTCTGAATTCCTCATATAAATCATCTGAAGAGATTGGAGGAATCGACAATTACAACATTTATGCACCAATTTGCCGGGACCCAACGCTGAAAAACGGCTCAGCTGCCTCTGTAAGTCCTTGTTTTATTTTGGCTTCTCTGTTCATGAGAACTTGGTTAATATTCTTTAAAAAAAAAAATATGTTGTCCAGGGTAATTTCTTTGATCCCTGCTCCGATGCATATATCAAGCATTACTTGAATACAGCTGAAGTTCAAAGAGCCCTGCATGTAAACCCCACAAATTGGAGTGACTGCAGGTAAATCAACTTTTCGGAGTAATTATGAAATGACCCCCCAAGTTTTAGCTTAATACAAGAATTTCCAATTATTCTTCCTCATTGTAATGCCTTGGAACATTTTCGACAGCCCCTTCAAATGGACAGACTCGCCAAACACTGTTTTGCCGACAATCAAGAATCTCATGGATAGTGGCTTGAGAGTATGGCTGTACAGGTTAAGTGTCCATAACATAAACATAAGGAAGAATTTGCAATAAAGATTCAATCTTTACTTGGTCTTTATAATTATTTCGAACCGCATTATGTTTGCAGTGGTGATACAGATTCGGTTGTTCCGGTTACAGCCACACGGTACGCAATCAACAGCCTTAAGCTTCTGGTCAGGACTCCTTGGCGCCCATGGTATTTCGAGAATGAGGTGAGAACTTAAAGCATCATATATATTCACACGTCTATTAGAATAACGGATGCTAATCGCTAATACTTCGATTTGTAAGAATGATGAAACAAATGTCTATTTTTCTGCTTGAAAATTTTGCGTGTTTAAACAAGATTTCAACAGGACGAGTCTTAACGAGCTTTTGTTTGCGAACATCCAATTTGTTAATGAGGTGTAATTAATTATGATTGATTGATCATAGGTTGGAGGATATGTGGTTGGGTACAAAGGGTTGGGTTTTGTGACAGTAAGAGGAGCTGGGCATCTTGTTCCCAACAGCCAGCCCAAGAGGGCTCTTGCCATGATCTCATCCTTTCTTCATGGGACTTTGCCTCCATCTTTTTAATAAAAATACAAGTGTAATTACTTATGAAAACTAATAAATATATCTATCTTTGTTTGGCTATTTACAAATTCAGCCTGTTGTTTTTAATAAGACCTACCTCAATCAGAAGAAATCGTCTTGCAAGATTTAAAATGACACCTCCTAACCGAAAATTCAGTATTTTGATCATCGAAAAAGATTATACTGGATTTTTTTCTTATACACAAAGTATCATCTATCTTCTTCGGAGATCGATTACCATTAAATCAACTGTCAGAAATCGATATCATGTCTCATTTTATTTGTCTAGTTGCAGACATCGAAAGATTAGTTTTAAGATTCAATCAAACTTCATCATTAACTGATTTAAAAAAAAAAAA